GAGGGGGAAGTGGAGGGTGGAAGGGTTGAGTCATTTCTTGCCATAAACTGAAAATGCTGCCTCAAAATTGATTACCCTGCAAGCAGAGAAGCTTAAGGTATCCCTTTATTTTGTCAGAAATGGTACCAAAAATTTACCATGAGAAAGGATTGCAACATGGTTTGTGGTTTTCCACACATTCTACAGTAACCTACCATTCCAATTTGATCTCTCCGGGCTTCTCTACTGACCTTTCCATACAGAAAAAAAATCAGAAGTGCCGAAAGAGCTGGGTTAATCATCCCGCAACTTGTGTGCCTGCAGCTTGTTTTACGTTATATATTTAACTTGCTTTAAAAAAAATCAGCATAGATTGTTACACAAACAAAAGACACACTAATTAAGGTGAAATTACTCAGACTACTTTAGTTTATTTAAGCGTGTATTATCATTTAAAGATGCTGAACATTGTATACAGCATCAATAGTAATTACATTTTATTTACTTCCAAGCGTTGATCCAGTATAATATTTATGAGGTAGAGAAAAATATTGTACTTTCAGGAAATTAGGTTTTCCAGGAATAAGTTATCTAGGTTTCTTGGTTTTTTTCTTAATCAATTCACAATAAATCCATTTGACTCCATGTTTTTAACAACAATACAGAGAAAAATCATGACATTTTTATTAGAGGTCAAAAGGACAAGAAAATATTTCTGAAAACCTTTTTTTAACATAAAATTATTAACACTTAAAAGGAAAGAAGCTATCTCACATTTTGAGTTTGAATGAACCCATTTATATGAGAGTTGCAGAACAGCATCAACTGACAGAGGAGTGAAAGGGGAAACTCAGAATCTCTCCTTATAGGAGGACATTCTTTATTTTGAAAAATACAAGTATCGAAGATTGATATCTAAGCAATGGTCAGACATCTGAGAAAAATACACTAAGAGGCTTCTTTCCATACTAGATAAAGTCATTCTCAACTCTGAAGCTTTACTACTTTGAGTACAGTCAAGTCTTTGTGTTTCTTGCACTTTTCAGTCAATACTTTTCCTAAGTCTTATAGAAATGGAGATATAGAAAGGGACACTCAGAGGTTCTCGAGGAAGATGTCCAGGTAATTGTCAATATCTGGATTCCCAAGCCCAGCACTCACATTTTGCTCTTGGCAAGTGACAAACACTGACAGAGAGGAAACTTCTGGGTGTCAGTCAATCCCACAGGGAGTGGCTGGGATGGAATATGGAGAACCACCTCTCTAAGCATCTCAGCAAAACATGCTGAAACATGCAAAGAAGTAGCAGTAATTTTGACTCAGAGACATTCATGGGACATTAAAGGGAGGGGAAATTCCTTCAAAGATTGACTTTGCAGCCCTTTGTTGTACTAGTTCCCTTCACTTGGAGGACATGGCACACTTCTGAGCAACAACACTGGATCCAGATTACATACAAAATACCACTTATTAAAGAGGCTAGAAATTTAAAATACAACAACAACAAAAACCAACAGAAGAAATGATACTGTGCAAACAAATGTGCAGTAATACTTCACCAGTAATGCATATATGCAAAACTCTTCAGGTGCAGAGATATTCCTTTTCAAAGCCACACTAAAACTGCAAGCTCTCTTTGGTGATGCAGAGCTTTCACTTTCTTGTCTGATGTTTGTGCCACATAGAAAGAGAGTGCAGCCTCTCAAACATTTTTTCCCTTAAGTATCTTAGCTAAAATCCAGCTGGGTGCAGAAAAGCTCAGAGCAATAACCATATTCATCAGTACTCATGAGATCAGAGGTCTCTTACCTAACTGTAACTATGATACTTCCAGACTGTAGGTTCTAATCATCGCTATGAAATTTGGGGCATAACTAAATAATTGTAATCCTAATAACATTAGTAGATCTGTGACATAAACCATGGAAACAACTATAGTAATGTGTGTTTTATTTTGTTTTGTCAGGATTCAAAAATAAATAAAAAGATGAGGAAAGCAGAAAGTAAAAATAGAAGAAAATAGCAGGATATTGCTGCCACTGATGTCTATGGCAACTGGCAGAAATCCCATGCATTTTAATGGGAGTAAGATTTTCAATTTTTAGTACTTGTGCCCTACATATCTTTCGCCTTCAGCTCTTCTCGACAGCATTGATTACATGATGTTCTGGAAAATGAACCTCTAAAATGCAGTCTTGGCCTGTTGGAAAGGTTTACTCTTTTTTTTTCTTTTCTGTAACTTATGCTCAAATTTCAAACATGGGCATAAGGATTATATTTTTATTTTACTACATAAGGGGATTGAACAAGTCTTGATGCTGACAGAACACTTTATGTGATATTTAGCAACAAAGAAGGAATCTCTGTCAGCCCAGAATTCAACAGAGCAGGAGTTGGCTAAATTCATGGCACGGTGTGGGAAAATTACCTCAACACTGTCTACTTTTGCTTATTTTTCCTTATGCTGACACTTCTGATGCCCTGAAAGTTGCTGTGCTCACATCCTCTGCTGCTGGTGTCAAAGAACACTCTCAGTCTTCACATGCCAAGATGAGGAAAACCTATTGCAATGCCCAAAAGACTTAACTCCTGTCAAATATATTCATTTAACACAAGCACTCTGGTCTATTGCTCTGAAGTCTTAAAGTGATGGCATGAAGGAGGAAAGAAGAGAAAAAAAGGCAGTAGCTTTAAAACAAAATCTTTAATTAATAGATAGAACCACTCCATTTCATTGTAGGAGAAAGAGGTGAAAAGTATTAGCCACAAAGACAGAATTAGATTTTCAAATTAGTGCTATACACAAAGGATTGCACACAATCCTACTGAAAAATAATAACTTAGAAATAACTCCCTCATGTGAAAAAAACCCTACTTGTTCATATACTGTACACACAGTCCTTCTTGTCCAGACTTGTCCCTGAAGTCTGCTGTCATCACTTGAGTCACTTTTAGACATTACTGTAGTTTTAGAATTGATACATTCTGTATTTTAAAAAAATAATTAATTTGTTCAGCTATTTGGGGTGTGGTCTTCACTTTTTTTTTTTCTATTCTTGTCAAGACTGTAGAAGCCCAGTTCAGAGTGAAATAACTTCTTCCTGTGCTACTGATTCCCTAAGCTAGACGACTATCCCACTCCACTCCTTTGTCCTCTCCATTTCATTAAGTTCACACATATGGGAATAAAACACTTTCAGAACAGGGCCAATAGCAAGCCAGTCACATCAAGCTCCTGATTCTGTGACATTATAGGAATGTGTTCCTACGCATGTAGGGATTCCTACTGATGTTAGCATCCCCTCATGGGTCGACAGAACAGAATGGAATATCTTGACTTGGAAGGGACCCATAAGGATCAGAGAGCCCAACCACCTTAGTTTTAGGTAGTCCTGTGAGGAACCCAACACCCCCGGGCTCCTCACAGGACTACCTAAAACTAACTCAGAAGACCAGATAGGCCATTTGTTTGGCTTACCACATCCACCAGCTAGGCTGTATTTGGGTTTCATAGCTGTAAGGTCCCTGCCCAACTTCTTTCATTATCAGACTTCTAAGACTACCACATCATTTTACTATTTGTTTTGCAGCATACACAAACAAATTAGAGGAAATTTAAGAATAATCTCAACAAATGTCAAAGAACGTGATGCAGCTACAAGAGAAAAATCTAGCAACATCTACAAGGCAGGTGAAATAATCTATCTGTGCAGCCCAGGAAGTCTCATCTGAAGGTTTGCATGTACCTCTGAGTCCTCATGTTGGAAAGAAGCGGATCAGCTGAGGTGCAGTTTAAATCATCAGGCCTGCAAAGAAAGCCTGAAGGAACTGGGCCTGTTTAGCCTTAAACCAATGAAAATGGAAAGAGTCTGAGCAATGGCTGCAGTGTGTTTGCTTAGTCCATTTTGGGTAAAAAAAAGAAGTAATAGAGTTAAGCTTCTGAAAGAAAAAATGATTGCAATGAAGCACTGTACTGAATTCCCTGTGCAACAATGAAATTTCACCCACTGAGAGTCTTTCAGAGGAGGCAGGACAAACTTGAATGACACAGATATATGTTGATCCTGCACTGGGACCGTCAAATTTGTGCCCACAAAAAACAAAACAAAAAAAACCAATCAAACAAAAAACCCCACACTTTCACCCTTATTATTTTTCAATCATCTATTCTTGAGAAGAAAGACAGAAAACTTTTCAGTGTATCTCTTTGTTGTGGTTTGAGACCCCCAAAAATCCAATTTCAGAGTCCAAGCCCCCCTCCCACAACTCACCCCAGTGTGAGAGGGGTTTTCCAGACAAAACACAAGACTCAATATGGGGGGAAGGGAATTATATTACAATTATACACAAATAAATATTATAACACATTATATACATAATCCTAACTATCTCTCCTGTGATAAAGCAGTATTTATATTGGATCAAATCTCTTTTCCCTCCAATAAAAGTCCAGAAGGGAACAAGGAAAGATCCTTTCCACGTTCACGGCAGCAGTGTCTCTCTTCTTCGATGCAGCAGTCATAGTTGGAGTTGTTGTAGCTGGAATCTCTCTCTCCATTACACACTAGGGGGTCTCCTCTCACCCCTCTCAGCCCTTCGGCTCCAAGTGAAGGTCTCTCTCCCACGGACTGCGAAGCAGGGACAAGGTTCACCTCACCACGTCATATCATTGGGTTTAAGACCCCCATGAAGGTCCCTTCCTTGAGGGCTTGAGTTCCCTCGAGTCAGAACGTTTAGAGCAGCTTTCAGTTCAGTCCTTGCCCTAAGTTTTCTATCAGAGCTCCTTTGCTTTGTCTCAAAACTGCCAGCGTGGTAGCAGTGGGGGGGGGACAAGGCCACTTCCCCTGCATTCCGTCCGGCTGTCCCAATCCAGCTTCCAGGATGTCTACGAGCTTCTCAGCTCCTCTCTCCAGTGCATGTTGGATTTTAGGACTTCCATCAAGTAGGAGTCCACCTCCTCCTCCTCCTAGGAGGGGTCTCAAAGGGGTTTTGGGGGATCTGATTCAGTTCTTACCCCAAAACTGTCTTGGTTGAGCTTTCTCTGCTCTGTTGCCAGCTCTCTCTCTCTCCTTGCAGAATATCTCTCTGCATTGCTTCATGCCATCTTTGCTGCTTCCCTCTTATCTCTTTTGGCCTTCGGCCACAGTTCTCTGCTCAGTGCTTTCTCTGCCGCCAATCCTGCTGCCCACTCACAGTGGAGAAAGACTCCTCCAGCTCTTCAGTCACAGAACCCAGTCCAGTTTAACACTGTTTCCGAGTTTCTACGACCCCAGCCAGGGTCTCTCTCCTTGTGGTCTCAAAACATGGCCACTTTTCCTCCAACTACCTCATCATCCTTCTTTTCCGGTCTGGTGTAATATGTTTAAATTTTGCAGGGGCACTGATTGGGTCAACATCTTCTGACACCACCCCCCTTGGGGGTTACCATTTTTTAACTCCAGGGGAAAACCACTTTTTTTTCCCCCACTACACTCTCCCATTCCTGCCCCTTTTCCCTTCTCACTCATTTTGTTTCCTATAAATTATCCCAGAAAAGAAACTATTTATTTTCCTTTCAAAACATGATAAAGTTCAGGTAAAGTAAGAGTTTGGTCTGAATGACCCTTACTTTCATAGGACAACACTTTACAAATAGGATTTTTGTAAAATACCTACATTTTCAGACATCTGCCTACACAAGTGTATACTGAAGAGTCTGATTTTTTTTTTCCATCCCCTTCATTCTCAGAACAGTGCAATGAAATAGCTGGTAGAAAAGGAAACTTTCTGAGGGTTGCCATTCAAATCAGGACACACACAGAGCTTTTCTATTTGCTTGGATACTATCATCACTATCTATATAGCCAGAGAAGTAATTTTATAAACAATGAAAGCATTTCTACTGAAAAAAAAAAAGATTTTCCAGAACAAAATACAAACTTTTTACTAATCCTAATAATCATGATAAACCTGCAGGAACTTTTGAAACAAGAACACAAGAAGATACAATGAGAAGTGTAAGAGGAAAATAAGAGAAAATTAATAAGGAGAAATTCAAACCATATTATTTGAAGTATGTAATTTTGTGAGGTGTTCTCCAAGACTCATGATTTGAGATTTGATTCAATTGCAAGTTAAATCTGTAGAGCACTTGTAAAATCTCCTATTCTTGCTCACATCAAAAACTAAGATATGCTGGACACACTTCCCATTTAGATCACACTAGCAAATGCTGCACTTCTTTAATACCTAAACTCTGCAAATGAAAATGGCTTTTAATTTTAAATGTAAGATGGAATTCTGATCTTGTTTCAGTAAGGGACTGTTTGGCCCTTTAAAAGATTCTTTTCCTTAAGTAATCACAGTATTGTACCTCAGTATGTTTGGTTTTCCTCAGATAGTCTTTATAATCAATACATCGAGAGTCAGTACAGCAAAGGGAATGCAACACTTCCTGACATCACCTATTTATCTAACACAAAACTGGAAAGATTTTGAAGGCAACACAGGGAGAGCAGGGTCTGGCCACTAGTTCTGCCCTAGTAGAACAGTTGATTCCTTAATTCACCTGGAATCTCGGTCTCCTCATCCTGCCTCTGTGTGCAATGTTGGGTTCGAGCTGCTCTTGTGCTATGCTTTCTTTTTTCTCTTCTTTTTGTATTTGTTCTTAATACTAAAACATTTTTTAAAATACTAAAAAGAGCATACAAACATACAACTAGACCCAAAAAATCAAGCATGGCACAGTAGGAGAAGAAAGCTTCTGGGGAGAGAAAGCAAAACTGTGTGACAGATGGAAAAGTCTCAATGAATGAATGGTACTACTACAAATAAGTAGTAGGCAGCCAGAGGGAATCAAATAATGGTTATACAAGAAAAATGAGGGTTTAAAAACTAGAGTAAAAAACCTTCAGCATTGGAAGAAAATTCTAGAGTAGTAATGTATAATATTTTTATAAGGGAGGTTTAATTATATGCTTCCCACAAACAGGGAAAGCACTAAAGACAAAGAAGTTAGATGCCTGACAAGTGAGCCAGTGTGGACAGTATAAAAAGCTCAACATGTCCTTGGAGAGGAAGGAATGTACTCCAGGATTCGGTCTGGCATGCCCCCAAACATGAACAGATTACTTTCTGTCGATCAATACCTGTAACCACCGGAGGCCTGTTGCAGAGTTTTAAAAAAAAATAAAAAAACCAGCTTCAAAGAGACCTGGTCCCAAGCCCACATTTTATTTTTGCCACTGGGTGCTGAGGTAAGAGCTTTGGACAAGGCTCATTTTTCATCTCTTTATAGGGCTGTGGATTGAGTATGAAGTGTTGCAGCATGTTCTCAGGGCTTTGCTCCGTCGGTTTCCTGTCCCAGAGAGGAGCACTCTCAGGATGACACTCGACCCCTTTGACCAAAGCTGGTATCAGATCATTCACAACACCTGATTAATGTCTCCTTTAACATCCATGACTCCTATAAAGGAAAAAAAAAAATACTTATTGTTTTATTAATTTAAGTCCCTTTTCCTTTGGACACAGATAGAAAAACCAAGAAGGTTCCTCATTTTATGTGAAATGTCACTGATCAGAAATTATATCCAAATACAGCTTAGCTATTTTACAGACGTACAGTGAGTACATTTTCACAAACTGTAGTATACTTCAATAAAAATTAAACCTCATATTTTTCCCCATAATATAATTTAATCACAAAGACTTGCTGAAATAAATGCTTTTAGATATTACTATGAGTAGGAAGCAATAATTCATACATGTTTCTGGAGTCACAGAGAGTTCTGTACCATTTAGCTTAATTTTCTTTTGTCTTTCTCCTGTTTCTTTTTCAGATACTGAAAGGCAGTACACATTTTCCAGGAAGCACTGATGCACTTATTTTTTTGTCCGTCTACCTTAGTTGCTGAAAATGACTGGTCTGAATAAGGAAAATAAGCGAAGAAAAGAAAATCTAAGCAGCTTTTTAAGGAAACAGCCAAAAAGAAAGAAAGAAAAAAAAAAAGAAGGAAAGAACTGTATTATTAATAGCAAACTCCAGGATGATGGATGAAAAGAACAACAATATCCTTTAATCATAAAGCACTAACATTCCAGCAGTGCTGGTAAGTGAGTGGAGCAGTGAAACCATTTGAGACTTAAACAGATGGATTAGGAAAGGTTCCACTGCGGGTTCCTGGACAGATTTCAAAACAGCAGCCTGATTAACTAATGCACAAAAAGCAAGTGATTCTTCCAATCAATAAGCTTTTATGTAAGCATATTTGAGTTATAATATTTAAACACAGTAGACAAGTGGGGAATCAGGAATTCCTCATGCTGGGCTAACAAAGCAGTAAGTTTTACTTGAATCTGAAGATCTCTTTTTTTCCCAGCAACTCTCAAAAGGGTTTTATAGCTAATGTTGTCACCACATGTTCATCAATATATTAACAGCTCCTGACGGTTTTGTGAAAATGATGGTGAGTTCCAAGTCAAAAAGATGCTATTTTTTTACAAATATTTTTTAAAATACTGTTTTGGGGAGAACTTAAACAGATTTTCATTGAATGATGGAAACTACACATAAAATTAAGCGACTACCTTTGCAATGAGCTCACTTTCCACAAATAATTACAGAGAGAGTACAATCAAAAGCCCAGGTCATAGGGGCTGATGCCCTTCAGTGAGAATAACATATTTATCCTAGGTAACAAATGGAAAATGGTAATGGTTTTATATGGATATTTTTATGTATCTTTATTTCAAAATCTCTTTTAAAACCATTTTTAAAGAATTACTGGCAATGAATACTGTCTCTTTATCTCAAATGCCCAGAGTTGCAATTAGAAGTATGCTATTTTGTAAAGGTTTCTAAAGTAACCTAAAAATAGCTCTTAATATAAGATGGTGTTGTTGTTGTTGTTATTTCTAATAACTTGTAGTGTTCAAAGGATAGAAACAGGCATCAAAATTTCAGGGTTTTTTGTATGATAAGTGGACTTCTAGGCCATGCTGTCTAGTACTCCATTTATACCATAATCGACAAACACACAGATTTATACTGATTACCTATATAGATTTCCCTTTCTAGCTGAGATCTGGCTACAAGATATTTTATGTTAAACCTTACACTTATGCAGACAGGAATTTTACTTATTTTTCATCAAATAATATCCTTTATGAAACATTTTGATAGTGTTTCCTGAAGACTAACCTTTTAGTATTTTGAGTTTTCACATTTGGGAGTATTTAGTAGGTTTTCAGACGTAGTCCTTATGAGACAAACAAATAATCAGAAGACAACTAAATCAGTCAGAATGTACACAGTAAAAGCACTTCACTAGATGACTTTAATATCACAGGACTTTTCATGGCTATCACCAAATTATATCCAGCTGCAGAAGCCATAACCCACAGAATACTGTGGAAGCATACACTGATTATGAATCTCTGCTTAGCTGAGCTAACCCATGAACCCAAATGAAGTTTCAAGAGATTAATAAACAAAATGACTGGTTCAGAATCAACACACACACATTTGAAGAACACATCCTTAGAGCCTCATGACTCAGCCAGATCAAACCAACTTTTAACACGACAAATGAAGGACACACCTCAAGTTTAAGGACTACACTGCTGCCAAATTTTCACTGGTTTCCAGTCTGCAAAGTTGCCCCAAGGTTAGAGCAAATTTGCATGAGGAAATATCTCGTTATCAACTATTTTTGAAAATTACAAGGAAATTCATCAGATTTGCGTCAAGGTTTATGCTATTTTCAGATAAAAAAAAAAAAGAAGAAAAAAGAAACCAAACCCACAAACTAATATTTGACCAAGTAAAAAAACTTCTCAGTTTTTCAAGACACTTTAGAATCAAGTGTCTCCTTCAGCTACAAATATGTTCTTCATTTTGCCAGCATACAAAGTAGTCATTACATGCGTAGTATTTGTCACTGTCTTCTTGCCTGCTAGAAGCCAAGTTGTAATTGCATGTTGTGATGTCTCAAGGACTTTGCGCCGGCCTGAAGTACTAGACTGCTGTGGTGCTAGGACTTCGCCTCTTTCCATCAAGGAGTTTGGACTCCATGACCTGTGGAGTTGCTGGCTTTCCTGTCTCCCCTTTAAATTGCCCAGCCAGGTCCTCTGCTTAGTACATGTGTAGGTCTGAATATATGTATATATTTGCCTTGAGGTTTACAGTGGAAATGTTCTTCATAAATTGAAAAAGGATATTGGGGAATAAAATGCCTGCAGCCCCCAAACAAGTAATAAGTCTATTAGTCTACAATATTAGAATAGTGTCTTTCAGTCCCCAGGGTATGACCCTCACAGGATGAAGTGTCATTCATTGTCAGAGTGACTAAACAGTTGACAGAAGCATGTAGTAAACTTGTAGTATTTAATAAAATCCTCTGAACACAGCAGAGATCCTTCCAATTTTCTAAAAAGGTTCTTATCTTTCTCAGACAAAACCCCTCTTTTTTCTCCTCAGTCTACATTTGATTTGTAACCACAAAGTCTGTCTTCTTTTCCTTTTGACTATGAACTTCAGACTGGGGGTGGAAGAGGAGGAAGAATGTGAGAAGAAGTCCCTTTCCTCTGGGCGAGGTTGTCGCTAACTCAATCCTAACTATCAGCACATGCTGCTTATAGTGTTTGGAGCAATGGCAGCATAAATTCTCTGCTATTTCTAGTTATTCAAATTATGTGACATTTTGTGATGATCTGAGGGCATGTTTACAAGCAGTAAAAATATCCCGATGTCATGAATAGACTAGAACCCAGATGCTATGATTCAACTTCAGCTGCCAGTTACTGCTATTTTGAATACAAACAAATCTGAAAGTAAAAACATTAAATTAAGGATATTAAATACATTAAGCAGATTTTGAAGTATTACCCTACTTCTACTTTAAGGGGCACTACAGATTCCAAGAAAGGAAAAGAGTTCTTGCCCACAACTAAAACAATAAATAGTATTATATTCTGTGTAGCTCCTAGGAGTTCGGTCCCCCACAGTTATCTGTGGGATGCTTCACACTGCCACAGTAGGGCAGTTCAACATTTCAACCTCTTACTGTAAAAATTAACCTGTTTTTTCTAATACACTTTGAACTCTGTTCACAGAAGCCCACATTGCATGAAATTCACAGACCCTCACAGAGATAAAATAATTCTCCCTTTTGGTGCCACTGAGGAACGCTAAAAATAGTTGAACATATCAGGAAAAAAAAAATCTCCTTTGGGGACTGCAGTGTCTTTGCCTTATTTGAAAGAAGAAAATAGATTTGTATATATGTGTACAATTAAATCCAATTTCTCTATATGATACTAAGCAGTTAGACTACATTCTGGAGATTCCTGAATCTCAGACCTATCTAATTATTATAATTCTCTATTCCAAATGTAGAAGAACAGTGCATTAATTTCAATTACTGAATAACTAATAGCAGTTGTTACTTCCATTTGCTGTGAAAACATATTAAATACTAACACCTGTAAGAAGCATATAATTTTTTGTAATACATAGATATATGTGCACACATCTAAATGCAGATGCACTTACATGCAGATTTGTGTGTACAATTGATTGCTACGAAGAAAAAAACTTCCTCATTGCCATCTATACCACGTTGTCTGACTTCAGCAGGTGATTTAGTTGAATGGAGTTTTGCATCAGTGGTATAATGCTTAACACAGAGAGGTTGGATTGACTTGAACCTGAGTCACTGGGAGGACAAAGTTTTTTTTATTAAAACCTTGCTGATTAGCCCTAAAAGTGACACTGGTGACCTTGGAGACAGCACTAGGGGTTTTCTTCACTAGAAGCACTGAAGATATGAAACTCTTACAGTCCTAAGGTGCATATATATGCAGATCTCAACCACTTGCCCCACTCTATTCTCTTCTGAGATATTTTTAGAAATATTTTTAAGGAAAATGTAGCAGCAGTAAGACCAGCTATAGTACATTTCATCTTGAAACATACCTGTATACTAGAATATATGTGAGAGGCATTGAATCACACTTTTATAGACAGCACAACAAAATCACCTGAAGTCAAATAAAGTAAATATATGTTCATTACTGACTGTGGTGAATTTCTTTTTGGATTCTGTGTGCTTTAACAGCCCTTCATTCCTGCCTATATGCTTCTCTAAGTGGAAACAGTTTTATTAGATGTTGTGGCAACCTTCAGATTATATTCACACAAACAAACAAAGTATTACTTGGTGCCAAAACATTGTATAGATACTGAACAACCATCATTTAAGCAGTCAACACCAAGCATTCAGAAATGGTTAACACTCCAAAGCATTTAGGTAGACACAGATTTTCCATTGCCTAAAAAATAAAAGAGGCTTTATAACTGGTTTTCATCTATCTGCAGAAATATTTTTTCCTGTTTACTGAAAGCATTGTGCTTATACATAAGATATTATCAACTTATCCTTAAAATAAAAGGATATTTAGGAGTGG